GTAAGCATCACAGTTGTCTTGTTTCCATTTTTAAACTATTATGTTACAAAGATAAGACTTCTGTCTTATGTAGGACACAATAAAATTTTAAGTCACTGATAAATTAGTTCACATTCCCTAGGGCACAATCAAGGTGACTGTGATTTCTGTATCTAGTTTGATATAGGAGAGCTGCCTGCATTTGAAAGGACTGGCTTTTTGTTTGAAGGCAAAAATATTAAATCCATGTAATCTCATAATAATCAAGAGAACCAAACTAGGAATCTGATTAAGTAGAAGTTTTGAAGCAATAGCATCACATATATGAGCCTTAAAAAAAATCTCATATACTTCTAATTCACACATTAAAGTTGTAAGACAAAATAATTTATATGCTTAGTCTTCAAAGGCTGTGTAACTGGAGCTCTAACAAAAACAATAGTTATTCATACAATCCCATGTCAAACTTTTATCCAGTATTTACACCTAGAATGCAACTCATCCCATCCTTTGGCCTTCCTCTCCTACTCTGACAGATTCATAGATTGTTATGCTATACAATCCTTAAACATCTTGCTCATTGACAGAATAGTCATCTTGACTTGTTCATACATAAAATTTTGATGAATGCTTGAGATGATGCACTCAGTTGTTTTTTATTTTTTCCATTAATTTTGAGAAATTTTGTACATTGTCCAAAGAAAAACATCTGCTACAAAAAGTGTCCTGACATTCATTCCAGACAATCAGCAAATCAAATCTGAGTTCTTATCTTTATGCTATTTAGCATTTCAAAAGAATAAAAATTTAAGTAACCCTAATGATTTTTGAGTTTTAACACATCTCTGGTCAACTTTGTTACTTATTTTACCTTAGGTTTATTTAAACATGAATATATGTGCTTATAATTTGTTAAATTGCATTATAACATATATATTTTTTTTCTTTGCATGGTTTGAAAAGATTTCAATTTTTAAATGTAGGGCATAAAAGAGAAATTTCTCAGGGTTTTAGAAAACTATTTTTTAAAATATATATGTAATCAGGTTTGAGATGACACAGTCCTGTAAATACTACAGAAAAATTTGATGATCTTTAGATTATGAACGGTTGTTCATATTTTTATTTTATTTTAATCTTAGTTCTTCAATGAAATCTCTTCACTCTACTGTTTACTATTTATAATATTAGTCTGTTTCTATACATCAGAAAATATTTCAATGATCGCTATAATCTTATTTATTTGCATTATGCCTGTTTCTTACACTATAATGCAAATTCCACACAGGAGTAAAATCTTCCTTTTGTTTTTTCCACTACATTCTGACCTGAAGTAGTATTTACTGTGGAGTTAATAGATCCATTCATGAATATATCTGGATAAAAACATGAATGAATATTCTCATCCTCATTATATTTCATGTATATTTTCATATCTTATTAGAATGGCAGAGCTAGAGGAAAATATAGTAACCATTGACACTATAACCTAATTTACACGTGTTTCCTTGTTGAAATATAATTTTAGAATGTAGACTACTTAGATAATGAAATTGTAAAACTGAATCCTCTTTTTTAATATGATTTATTATAAGTAAAAATTAAAGCAATGGATTGTAAAAAAAAAAGTCCTAATATTGACATAAAAAATCTTAATAAGTCCCCTTAAAGTCACATATTTTAAAAAATTGAGATTGATGGGATCAAGTCACTTTTCATTTGATGGTTTTCTTTCTTTTTAGGTACATATAGTTCCAAAATGTATATGGCAAAAAAAAAAGAAAAAATAAATTATGATACTTTGATATAGTCATTTTCATCGTGAAATTACTATGCAATTATTTTATCCATTAATTTGTATAAATTTCCATTTACTTGCAAATTTTTTAATAGGACAAATTAATATATTACTCATTTTCCTATGTGTAATCATAGACACTGAAATCAAATGTGGCATGCTTAAATTCAATTGTCAAGCCTTATCCAGGAGTAGGTCTTCTGAGGAGTCAGAGTAGGCAGCTGAACATATCATATGATTTGAAAGAATTGGGAAATTACTTTTGCTTAAAATAAAGTATGTCCCTCATTAAATCTTTCTGTGTCTAAAATTTTATCTTTAGAAATCTTTCTTGAGTTTTAACGTAGCTTTCACTTAGTTCTTCACAGTGTGGCTTTTCCATCTTTCAGAAATTCTCTTTGAGAGCACTTTTGGAGACCGAAGTTGAATGTTGTCTGTTAGACCTACCCAGAGATCCATTTTCTTGAGTATGGGAAGTCTTACTTTAACAAAATTTTGATACCACTCTAGCAAGGTCATGCTTTTAGCTGTCTGGAAAAGTCAAATAACCCCTCAGGTAACTAGTAAATCACTCACACTGCAGTCAGAGACCACTCATTACATCCTTAGAGGGGATTAATTGGGCAGAATCAGAGGCTTAGGGAAAGGTTGTGAGTAGGAAGAGATTCAGTACAATGTAATCTTCAAATACTAAATGTAAGATTATATAAATCTAAACCTTTATGTTAGTGAGGAAACTAAGGATCAGAGAGATTATAATTTGCTGAAATTAACAAACATGAATAGTTCTAGAATACAATTTGCATACATGTCCTGACAACTCTGCTTCTTTTTACACTATACAACTTATGCTTATCCGAATCAGAAAAGGGAAAAAAATGGGGTTTGTTCTTAATTCTCTCATCTGATATCATTTCTATTTTTGTGTGTTGTTATTTTGTTGTGATGATGTTAATAAAACTCATTGTTTTGTGGATGTTAAATACTAGAGCAGAATGAAATTAAACATTCAACTTGTTAAACTAAGAAATATAAAAGAAGAAATAAAATCTCAATTCAATCTTCCATGTTGTCTTCTTCCCAGTTTTAACTTATAAGTAATAAGTATAAAATATTCAAACTTTTATCTTGCCCATACTCCTTTTCTCTTTTACTTTACAATTAATTTTCTTACTCTTTAAGAGTAAAGAAAAAAGTGTAAGAAATTTTCTTACATCATAAGTCTTTACTTATTATTCATTCTCTACACCATTTACCAGTGTTATGCTTTATGAGGACACAGAACTTTGTTCTTCTAATCTTTGTTTATTGAAATACTCCTATTTCCAGCAATAATTTGGCATCTAATTCAGTATCTAATAAAATTTCCTGAAGAAAAGGATGACCTGTGAGGCAAGATAAGGAAAACTTTCCTTATAGAAAATATTCAAAGTAACATTACCATCACTAACAGGTATCATTTATAATGCAAGATATAATAAATGTTAAGGATAGGTGCCGATGCTTTATACAGTTAGTGATAAGGGAATGAATCAAGGGAAACCTATGGAACCCAGTACTCTGAGAACAGCAAACAGTATCATTTAGTGGCCTGTAACTTTACTGTCCAGCTGTCCTTCTTAAGCCAGGGCCATCTCACAGCTTCTAAAGTTGCACTACAAATGAGTGGAAGGTGGATAGGATTTATTTCTACATTTACTTCTCCTTTGCTTTTCAAAATTCCCTAAAGAATAAAAATGAAAACAAAGAAATTGAATTCAGTCAATCTTCATGTATTATTCAGTTCTCTTTTGTGTATATGTAGTATCTAAATACTCTTTAATTAGCTTCCTTGGGCAGAAAAGGTCTGGTTCAGAATGTGAAAAAATAATAAGATCTAGAGAATAATTCAAAGTAAACATCTTTGAGTGTCTGGTAAAAGGTGACACTTGGTATCATTTAAGTTTAAATAGACTATAATAGTTGATAATAAAAGGAAAATTTGTCAGCAACCCAGTTGTGACACAAACATAATTAAAATGTTCTATTTAACTGTTGTAAAATATTAAATAATTTGATGATTTTTTGGTGTTGCATGTGATCCATAAGATCACATCAATAATTTAGCCTATACAAAATGAGAAATTTTACTATGTATTTTACCAAACCATGGTACTCACTTTTCAAACTAATTAGAGTGCTTTTAGCAAGACTGTGCTAGTGTCTGTTTCAATTTTTTTTGATTGTTTAGTATTGTAGCTTTACTTTAACCAACATAAAGCTTATCTAATCCATTGAGTCTAGATGTGATTTAACCTTTTTATGACATATAAAGAAGGTTTTAAAACGTAGTATTTTTAAACATGTGTTATTAAAATCTTATAAAATAAAATAGTTGAAGCACATACACTTAGTCCTTTACTACTTAGTCCTTTACTACTACATAAATAGCAGGACACATAAACTAGTCCTTTATCTTGAGTTCAACATGTAAATCTAAAATCATAAGATAAGAAATATCCTCTCCTATACTTTTTATCTTAAGATACATAATCATAATAATAACACTAAAAAAGCCCTGCATATAAGAAAGAAGAAGCTATAAGGAGTATTTAATTTTAGGTGACATAAGAGGATGAAATTTCACACATCTCTAATTCTGGCACTCTAGGAGGCTAGGGCAGGAGGATCACAAGTTCAAACCTGATCTATGTAATTTAGTGAGAACCTATTTCAAAATAAAAATAAATAAGGGCTCAGAATGCAGGTCATGGTAAACATCCTGGGTTCAATCCCTACTACAGAAAACAACAAAATAATAGTAGCAGAGAGTAAAGGGAGTTCAGGTCATTAGCTAAAAGTGTGAAGCCATTTATTGTGATAAATTTCTCATATAGCTACTGCAGCATATATATTGAAATAATCAACTTTATAGTTAGTTGTCATCGTTAACTTTTAAAATTGTTTTCACTTTTCTTAAAGGTTAGTAAATGATGATTAAAGTATTATAAATGATAAGAAATTTTCTTTTCTTTCTCTTTCTTCTCTCCCTATTTCCCTCACCTTAATTTCCTTTTTTCCCATCAAACATCCAAACAAAATTTACTGTACATGTCAAAATTCTGCAGGGTACCAAGGATGAAAAAATTGAGCAAAATTCTTAACCTCTGAAAATGTATGGCAGCCTATCCCTGTCACCACTTCTGGACTGAGGAAGAGCTTTCCCCTCCTCATGAAAACTCACCGCTGGCCCTCTGTGCCCATGGATTTTGTCCCCACTTCCCTGGCCATGGGCACCCATAAATTCCAAACCCATTATGTGTTTTGTTTTCCTGCCACACTGGGGCAGCAGAGGCACCAACCAAGGAGCCAACCCCATCATAGCTAAGGCCAAAAGTGGTGCAGAGAAACTAAGCCCAGGAGAGTGGATAGCTGCGGGGCCGGGGGGGGGGGGGGGGGCAGACCTGGCCCATAGCACTAGCCCCCAAAAAGTCCATGGAGAAAACTGACTTACTGGATTCCAAAACTGCAGTTTCTGGGAAGAAACCACTCATTCAAAAACACAGGGGAGGGGCTGGGGGTTTAGCTCAGTGGTACCACGCCTGCCTCGTAAGTGTAAGGTCCTGAGTTCAATTTCCCGTACCAAGAAAAAAAAAAAAAAAACCCACACAGGGGACTTACCAACAGTATTGGGGTGGGCCTCTGGCTGTTTTGTAAATAGAGAGAGGTAGAAGGGTTGAAGAGAGGGCAGGGAAATGAAGAAAAATAAGAATCAAGATATATTATACAAATCTCCAATGATTACTGTTATTATACACCTAAAATGTACCAATAAGAAAAAAAGGGAATATTTTTAATTGATTCAACTTTTTTAAATTTTCTTATCCCCCCTCTTTTTTTCTATGGCGTTTTCCTTCATTGTTTCTTCAGGGTTTGGCATTTAGTTTCTCTCTTTTATCTTTTTTCTTTTAATATTTTTGCTTTTTATTTTTCTTTTTCTCATTTCTTCTTTTCTTATTTCTTTTTTCTTTTACTGTTATCAAATACTATTAATATTCTTTTACCCCTCAATAGGACCCTTTATCTCATTTTTCTGTCCTCCTTCTCATGTTCCATTGATTAATATTTCAAATTTTACTTTTCTTATTCTTCATTTCCCCACTCACTATTTTTACTAGTACAAACCTTAAGCTTTACAAATCTTTAGTTAACTCTATACTACTAGTGTTGAATATTGTTCTATTGTGAGTGGAGATAAAGTTGTTCCATTTACTAAATATTTATGGAAGGTCAATCTTTGGTATTTCTTAGTGCTTATAATTTAGTTATAGATTTACTTCTTATGGTTTTCTCTGTATGCCAATATGTTGACTGCTTGTGTCATTAACAATATCACAACCTATTCTCAGAGACCTGGATATCATCCTAAATAAACTGCAGCCTCCCCACCCAAATAAGTAGAGGTTCTCTATTCCATGAAATGGGAACCTGAATACAAGCAGGACTCATTACCCTATTTTAGGACAAAGTGGATTTCAAGTCAAAAGTTTTCAGAAGATACAAAGATCACTACATATTACTTAAGGGAACAAATCAGCAGGAGATAACAATTATTAACATAGATGAATTGAACAATGCCACATCCAACTTTATAAAACAAGTACTACCAGACAGAAAAGATTAAATAAACATAAACATAATTATAGTGTTTCAATATTCCTCTGTTGTATTGAATATATATCAATATTATATTGACACCAGTATATCAATATGCTACTGTTGCAAAGACAAATCAACTAGAAAAAGTCAACAAAGAAACATAGTTGAAAAAAACCTCTTTGAATAAATTAACTTAATAGACATCTACAAAATGTTCCACCCAAGAACAACAGAATACACATTCTTTTCAGCAGTACATGGAATTTTCTCCAAAATAGATGACATACTAGCCAACAAAGCCTACTTAAGTAAATGTAAAATAATCAACATTATACAATGCCAGTTATAAAAGCATAGTACAATGAAACTAGGACTCAATGGAAAAAGAAACAATAGAATTTGTGCAATGCATGGAAATTAAACAATACACTCTTATATAATCAATGTATCACAGAAAAATCCAGGAAGAAATAAGACAGTTCCTAGAAGGAAATGATAATGCTAATGACTCGTATCAGATCTTGTGTCACACAATGAAAGCAGTTCTAATAGGGAAGTTTCTATCTGTCAATGCTCACATCTGAAAAACAGACCAAGCTCCAATAAATAACCTAATGATACACATCAAGGTCCTAGAAGAAGAACTAAAGAAATACAAAGCTATTACAAGAAAAAATTTATAAAGAGGAGCAGAAATTAACAAAATGGAGACTAAAACCAATATAACAAAAAAAACCCAACTTGTATTAGTCACTGCTTACTAGAGTCAAGTGTAGAAGAGCCCAAATGTCTGTCTGTGAACTAGAGACCTGAAGGATCCAATTGAGGGCTTAAAGCCCACGACAGTGTCCCCCACAAGTCCAGCGAGAGGCCTAGGGTCCACAGTAATATAATATAATTTCTCACTCAAGTCTGTATCAAGGATCTGCATGAGAAAGGCCCAAAGGCCAGTGGTGGAAGCTAGAAAGTCTGCATCAGTGGGGTGAAGGATCTGTGTTTGAAGCCTGAGGAATTTGCACTGGAGCCTGGAAGTGACACACAAAATGATGATGAGAACAGGCAAGTTCTTATCCGAAAAACCAACCACAACAAAACTTCTGGGAAATCAGCAGCATGCAACGCTCCCCTCTCATTCTCCTTTTATTCTATTGGCAACAATCCACAAGTGGATCCTCCATCCCTAGAACCAGGCTGCCTCAGTTCAACTGGGAAGTCTCAATCAAATTGACCATCCACCACATAAATCCTTACCCAATCTTACTGCCCCCCCTGCAAAAAAAAAAAAAAAAGAAAAAGAAAGAAATGATCTAAATCAATGCAATTATAACTGAAAAAAAGTAAAATCACAACAGACACAACCAAAATCCAGAAGGTTATTAGCAACTATTTTGCAAACCTGTACACCAATTGGTTGGAGAATTCAGAAGAAATGGAAAGATTCGTAGAAGCATAAGAATTACCCAAACTGAACAAAAGACATAAAAATCCCAAAAATCCAATAATAGAAAATGGAACTGAAGCAGTAATTTTTTTTTTTAAAGTACCAACTAAGAAAAGTCATGTCCCAGTGGCATCACTGCTAAACTCTACAAGGTCCCCAGAGAAGATCTAAGGCCAATACTCCCCCAAATTTTTAATGAAATTGAAAGAAAAAGAGTACTCCCAAAGTCATTCATGGAATCTAGCATTATCCTAATTCTAAAACCAGAGAAAGATCTAACCAAAGAAACAACTACTGGCCAATCTCTTAAATGAGCATAAATACAAAAATCCTTAACAAGAAATGGGCAACAGAATGGAACAAATCTTCAAAAAATCATAAATCATGACCAAGTAGACTTCATTGCAGGGATGAATTAATTGTTCAACATATGGAACCAATAAATATAATACATGACAGAAACTGAACAAGAACAAAAAATCACATGATCATCTCAATGGATACAGAAAAAGCCTTTGACAAATTCAGCATTGATTTAAAATAAAAACCCTGAAGAAAATAGGTATAGTGAGAACTTTTCTCACTTTGATAGAAGCCACTTACAACAAACTTACTCCAACATCATATTAAATAAAGAAAAGCTGAACGCTTTCCTTCTCAAATCAGAAACAGGAGAATAATATCCGCTTTCATCACTTTTGTTCAGCATATGACTTGGAATATTCACCAGAGCAATCAGGAATGAGAAAGAAATAGAAGGGATATTACATAGGTATGGAAAAAGTCAAAGTATAATTATTTGCAGATGACTTGATTCTCTACATGGAAGATCCAAAAACTTCCACCAACAGATGCCTAGAATTAATAACCAAATGCAGCAATGTAGTATCAACACAGAAAAATTAATAACATGCTATATACCAAGAATGAAATCACTGATAAAAATAGGAAAACAGTATCCTACAGAATAACATCATGAAAAATTAAATATTTAAGAATTAATGTAATCATTGTCATTTAATCGTAGGAAAGGTCTGATTTCTTCTTTAATTTCCTCTGTGACCCATTGGTTATTCAAAACTGTGTTGTTCAATTTCCATGTGTTTATGAAATTTTTGTAGTTTCTTTTGCTATTAATCTCCAACTTCATTGCACTATGGTCTGACAATATACAGGGGGATAACTTCAATTGATCTGCACTTACTTAAACATGTTCTATGAGCAAGTATGTGGTCAATTTTGGAGAACAAGCTGTGTGCAGCTGAAAAGAATGTGTATTCTGATTTTGTGGGGTGGAACATTCTGTAAACATCTGTTAAATTCTTTTGTTCAAGAGTTTGATTGAGTTATAGAATTTTATTGCTTATTTTTTGTCTAGTTGATCTATCTATTTGTGACAGTGGGATATTGAGGTCCCTCACTACTTTTGTATTAATGCTTATTTGATTTTTCATGTCCATTAGCATTTGTTTTATATAGTTGGGTGCACTAGTGTTAGGTGCATATATATTTATGATTGTCATCTCTTCCTCTTGGATTGTTACCTTTATAAGGATGTAGTCTCCTTAATAATGACAATACATCATATTGGAATCTATGGGACACAATGAAAGCAGTCTTATGAGGGAAATTCATAGCACATATTAGGAAAAGAGAGTCCAATTAAACAACCTGATGCAGAAACTCAAGCTTCTATAAAAGAAGAGCAGGACAAACCCAAAGGAGGGGGGAAATTATAAAGATCAGAGCAGAAATCAATGCAATGGAGACTAAGAGAAAATCAATGACCCCAAGAGTTGGTTCTTCAAAAGAATAAACAAAATTGACAAACCCTTAGCCAATCTTATCAGAATAAGGAAAGAAAAGGAGCAAATCCATGCAATTAGGAATGAAAAGGGTGAAACTACAATGGCTGTGGCAGAAATACAGAGGATCATAAATGCCTACTTTTTAGAACCTATATGCCAATAAGATGGAAAACACAGAAGAAATGGACAGATTCCCAGATAACTATGAATTACCAAAGTTGAGTGAAGAAGACCTAAAAATTCTAAACAACCCAATATCAATCAATGAAATTGAAAATGTAATTAACAACTTATAAACTAAGAAAAGCTCCAGTCCTGATGGCTTCACTGATGAATTCTATAAGACACTTAGAGAGGAACTATGGCCACTACTATTCAAACTCTTCAATGAAATTGAAAGGGAAGCAA